ATTATTATTATCATCGTCGTCGTCGTCGCCGCGATTATTCAAAAATTATTAGTTTTTTTTTTTTATTTATAACGAAATTTTTGCCCCCGCCCCAGCCCCGTCACGAACACCACCCCTAAAATAAAACTCGTATTTAATTCCATCTTTGACTTTTTTACACCCCCATCACGAAGGTTATAAATCAATTTCGGCGGATGACTAACTCGCGACGGTATTCTCACGTCAGAAAAATGTGAAGGAAATGAAAGAAGGAAAATAAAAGGCGTTCGTTTTTGAGGTGGTAGTGGTGGTGGTGGGGGCGGTGGCGTTCGTTCGTACGATAAACGTAACAAAGCCGAAAGGAAATTCCAAAAAAAAAAAAAAAAGTAAAGAAGGGAATAAAACTTTTGAGTTGCGTGAGGTCATGGAGCCTTTCTCTCTCACTCTCACTCTATCTATCTATCTGTCTATCTATCTTTCCTTCTTCCTCTCACTACTACTACTACTACTACCATGACGACGAACGAGTGAGGCGTAGTATATTTTAAAACATAAATAAAAGTCAAATGTAATAATAAATATAAGGCTTAATGTTTTTCCTACCAACAAAGGTTGAATCTCTCTCTCTCTCTCTCTCTCTCTCTCTCTATCTCTATTTCTGTCTCTATTTCTCTCTCTTTCTGTCTCTCTCTCTGACTTTGACTCTCTGACTCTGACGGAAGTTATTAACGTTAAATCCTGATATATATGTATACTACTACTACTTATGTATAATTTATTACACGCGTAATTCAACTTTGATGACGTTATTTATTTATTTATTTACGTACGGGAAGAGGAAGGTAAAACGGAGAAAATAAATTTGATTTTCTCTTCTCCCCCCCTCACTCAGAAAATCCCCAAAAATTTCCCGTTCGGTTCGGTTCGGTTTGATTTCGGGAAAAAACGAAAACGAAAAGGAAAGGAAAGGAAAGGAAAGGAAACAGAAGTGAAAGTGTTTGTTTGTTTGTCTCTTTTTCTATTTTTACATTTTTCGTATATAAAAAAAAACATCATCATCATCATCATCATCATTATCATCTTTTATTTATTTATTTGGTGTAAAATAGTATCTATAATTATATAAAACATGGGCGTCGCGACGCTCGCCCCTGATGACGTTGCACCCTAATTCCGTTCCCGTTATTTATTTCGGGAAAAACCTTGGCATGGCTCCCAATATATCGTTTCGTTTTTGTTTTCTCTCTCTCTCTCTCTCTCTAATGTTTGTTGAGTCGGAGGTGTCGAGAGAGAGAGAGAGGGGGGGTGGTAGTCAGGGAAAATTTCCTTTCGTGAAAGTGTTTTCTGAAAAATAATAAATAAATATCGATCGTGGATAATTTTTTTTTTTTAATGAAAGGCGGTGGAAAACTAAAGGGAAAAGCTGAAAAGAGAATTTTTTTTTTTTTAATAAATTGATTTAGTCTACGGAGCCAAATGCGGGGAGGCGTTTAGGGGGCGGCGGAAAAGAAGAGGAAGGGGAGGGGAGTAATGGTATGTTCTATGTATATATATATAAGAAACAAGGAAGGAAATTTTGGCAGCAGGACATGAAAAAATTTGATTTTTCTGGCAATTGTTGTTATTATTATTATTATCATTCGGACTCGCAAAACTGTGACTCGGTTTTTCTTTTTTTTTTTTTAGGTTATTATTATAATTTATTGCTTATTATTATTATTATTATTTTTTTTTTTTTTTAATATTTCGTTTCGTTCGTTTTCCTTGTTCCGCACGCACACACGCACTCACGCATCGTCGCATTTATTATCCTCTCGAACGGGCGAAATTCAAATTTTTCTGTTTTGTTTTTGTCCACGTCAACAACGCGTTCGTTTCGCGATTGTGAAATAACGTGAGGGGTGGTGACGTAATAGTTCGTCGTGGCGTTCCGCTTTTCAAAATTTTTTGTCTCTCTTGTCTTCCTTCTTCCTTTTCCGAAAGAAAGGAGGGGGGTTTTTTTTGGCGCCAAAAACGAATTTCGTAATTAGCAAATAAAAAATATTCGGTTTTATTGTCCTCCTTGCTATTCGCTCAACGGGGGAAATGGGGGAAAAAGGCGGGAAAATAATTTGAAATTAAGTGAGAGAGGGAGAGAGGAGGTAGTGATAGAAAGAAAGAGAGAATGGAAAATGCGAAGTGAAATCGTTACAAAAATCAAATTTCCCCTCCCCCCACAAAAGGTTAATTCTTGAAATCCCGAATTATTATTATCACTCTTATTGGCGCGTTCGTATCGTGTGCGTGCGTGCGTGCGTGCGTGCCGTTCAAAACACAAAAAAAAAAAAAAAATTAAAACGTTCGTATTTCTTATGGTTTTCTGTAAAAATGAAGAGGGGAAGGTTAGAAAAGGGGAGGGTGTGAGAGTAGGGGTCGGTGGTTGTTTCGGGTCATTTAAATTTGAAAAAATCTCGCTTGTGAAGAACGAACGATGGGGCGAACGGGGGTCCGCGGAGAACGTCGCGTTTTTCATTTCCTTTTTTTTTCTTTTTTCTTTTTTTTCTCCTCTCATTACGTCATCAACTTATCATCACGGAAAAAATATTTTCATCATTATCAGTTAGTATACATTTTTTTAAATTCAATTTTCCGAAAATTCGTTATCATCGTTATCAATACGAAAATATTTTTAAGTTATTTAATTTTTTTTTTTTGCGAATTGCAATCGGACGAATGCGTCATTCACTAATAATAATAATAATAATGGTTTTCGAACTCGAACGAAGAAAAAAATAATGAGAGAGAGAGAGAGAGAGAGAGAGAGAGAGAGAGAGAGAGAGAGAGAGAGAGAAAATCGCGCTTTCCCATATGTAAACGGCATCGTTTACGAACAATCTTAATTATCGCAATCATCATCATCATCATCATCATCGCCATTATTATTATCATTATTATTAAAAACAATTTATATTGTTTTACCCTGGAGCCATCGACAAGCGTTTGTTTAATTATATAAAATCGCATTAAAATAATAATAATAATAATAATAATAATAATAATAACTCGTTTTTTTTTTTTTTTTTCTCATTCGGCGCCGCGTTTTTTTTTTTTTATGTATTTATATATATAACTTTAATTTCGAACCGTGGCTAAATAGTCATTCATCTTGGATTATTATTATTATTATTATTATTATTATTATTATTATTATTATTATTATTATTATTATTATCATTATCGTTTGTCGCACATCTCGTTTGTTTCACGGTCATCCGATTAGTTTTTTTTTTTTCTGTTTGTTTGATCTTCCTTTTCTTTTTAGCACGCAGTTTTTCATTAAAAAAAAAAAAAAAGGCAATAAAAAGTCGTTAATAATAATAACTATTATTATTTATTTTTATTTATAATTTTTTATTTATTTATTTTTCTTTTGCGTCTATTAAAAGGAGAAGGAGAAGAATAAGAATTAAAAATAATTACAAATAATGATTTGTCGATTTTGCAAATAATGATAATAATAATAGTGGAGGCTGTATTCTTTGCAAACTTTGACCGATTCTCTCGTTTTATTATTATTATTATTATTATTATTATTATTATTATTATTATTTTATTTTTGTTCTCCCACTCTTTGACGATCTTTGCCAATAAGTAATACGAAGAACGAACGTGGAAATAGAAATTTGGAAAACGGAAAACGTGGAAGAAGAAGAAATAAAAACAAAGAAAAGTAAAGAAAAGCTGTAGGAAAATTTTCGTTTTTCTTTACATTTTTTTTTTTGAAATAACATAAAACGAGGCGACGATTCGTTTAGCACGTGATTAATAATAATAATAATAATAATAATAATAATAACACTAACAAATAGTGCTCGCATTCTCGGAATGATTTTTCGTACGCGAGAAACGGTTACGAGAGTAAAAATTGGACGTTTACTAACGATGCCAATAATAATAATAATAATAATAATGAATGAATGAATGAATGATTGAACGACTGAACGAATAAAAATACCGATCGGTAACAAACGACAAAAAAAAAAAAAGTCGTAATGGTTGGAAACCGTTTACATACACTCTTCTCGGAAATGGTTTAGTTTACTGCCATTTTTTTTTTTTTTTCCTGTAATGAGTTTTGGTTTTTTTTTTTTTTTTGAAGAATCATTTAATAAAAATGTGGGTGTTGCTTTTTTTTTTTTTTTTTTTAATTTATGACGTTTTCTCTTTTACTACTACCACTTTTTAAAAATGGCGTTCGCGCAATAAAGAAAAAAGAAAGCTTGTTGTGATTTTCGAGAATACGAAATAATATATCCTAGTTTGATTTATCGTGGATGTAGACAGACGGAGGCTTTTGGTCGACGCCCCTCCCCCTTTCTACTGTTCCTTTTCCGTACCCGTTCGCGGGTGCGTTATCGCAGAAAAGGACAAACACGTTCGGAAAAAAAACGTTTTTAAATGAACGTCCGACCGACTTTATCGGAGGAGTAATAGGAGACGACCGTTCTAGGGAGACAGAGAGAGAGAGAGAGAGAAAGAGATTGACTGACTGATTGATTCGGTCATTGACTGACCGTAAGATTTTTTTTTTTTTTACAATAAACAACGCCAATCAATCAATCAATCACTTTTTTGTTGTTTGTACAAAGTTTTCTCTCTCTCTCTCTCTCTCTCGTAGTGGTTATTGATTATATATATTACGCGAACGTTTCCATCCGTTCGTTTTTATCGTATTTTTCTTCTGCTTTTTCTTCTGCTTCTTCGTCTTCTTCGTCTTCTGCTTCTTTTCATTTTTTTTTTTTGAAAAAGTTTGCCCTCTTTAATATCAATACAATTGCTTATAAAATAATAATAATAATGAATTTCGTAATAGTTTAATAATAAAAATAAAGCGTGTTGCTGTTTGTTGTTGTTTGTTGTTGTTGTATCATTTGGGCAGTCGTCCACGAGAGTAAATTTACCGTTAAAAAAAAATAGTAATAATAATAATAATAATAATAATAATAATAATAATAATTTTTTCTACAATTTTCCATTGAATGATGTTGGAACGGAATTCGTAATATATTTAAAAAATTTTCAATTAAATCTCATTGTATTTTTTTTTTTGTTTGTTTGTTTGTTTTCAGGGAGTGTCGGCTTAACGATAGGACGGTATCACCGCGAAGTCACATGGAACAAGAAAAGCGAATACGAAGGGAAATAGCCAACTCGAACGAGAGAAGACGAATGCAAAGCATAAATGCTGGTTTTCAATCTCTTAGAACGTTGTTGCCCAGTCACGAGGGTGAAAAATTAAGCAAGGTAAATAATCATCATTATTATTATTATTAGTATTAATAATTTTCAATATGGATGTTGCAATGTTTTTCCATCCGTCGGAATGATCATCCAATGGTCCGTTTGTACTCGAGATGAAACATGCGGTGAGCGAGAAACGGAAACGAGATGATTTTGCCGTTTGTTGTTGTTATTATTATCATTATCATCGCCGTCATTCCATGATTGGTTTCCATACTGGGGGTCGTGATTTTCTCATTAAGATCGAAAACAACGTTAAAATGCAAACGTGATAAAATTTCTCTTATTCTCTCTCTCTCTCTCTCTCTCTCTCTCATTTTCTTTTGCCATAAAACGCAATCAATCAATCAATCAATCAATCTTTAGAAATTCTCTCTCTCTCTCTCTTTCACAACGTGATTTGTAGTTCTCGATGTGCATTCGGAATCGTTAAATTATATCCTATATTGAATACTAAACGGAGGAAACGGTATTATTTGTTTTGTTCAAAATGATGACGATGATGATGATGATGATGATGATGAATGTGAGATGGAAATAAATTGGTTATTGTTATTATTATTATTATTATTTGTTTCTTCGTTTGTTTGTTTGTTTGTTATTACCAATTTTCTTTCCTCGTTTCTTCCCCTCCTCTTCTTCCTCCTCCTTTTTTAATCTTCATCTTTTTGTATTTATTTTGCATTCCGTCGTTCATCTTTTTCCTTTTGTAATTATCCGTTTGTTTTATTTGTAATCGTAAAAGACTCGTTGTTTGTTTCTAAATGTGAAATCATTCGTTTAGGGGTGGTGGGGGGAGGGGCTTACCATAAAAATTTTGATTGGCGTAAATCATTCGACCCGAATGAGTTGAAAAAAACATCGTCGATGATGATGATGATGGTGGTGGTGGTGGTGGTGGTGGTGATGGTTCTTTTCTCGAGGGATCATAAAAAATTTCAAAGGATAGTCTTTACGATCGTATTATTATTATTATTATTATTATTATTATTATTATTATTATTATTATTATTATTAATTTAGGTGAAATCTATTCGATTGAGGAGAAAGAATGAATGCACGTATGTGGAAGATGGTGCGTAAATTCAAGTTCAACGATCTTGGTATCCGTTCGAATTGAAAAACGTTAGCGGCGGTTGCCCTGGAAAATCGAACCACGTGGCGGTTGTTCTTCGACAAACGATTTATCGATACGTGTGATGTGATTTCACGATTATATATACATTGGCGAAAAAAAAAAATTAATTTGATGGTGTCTGGTTGTTGTTGTTGTTGTCGTCGTCGTCGTCGTCGACGACGACGACGTGAGTCACTCTCTGGAGGGTCCGAAGTTTTATTATTATTATTATTTTTGTTTTGTTGTTTCGACCTTCGAAAATTTACCGGAGAGTGAGTTTTTTTTTTATTTATGACGGCGGGTAAAAATTAGCACGGTGCGTAGCGTCAAAATAATAATAATAATAATAATAATAAAGATAAATCGGGTAGGGAGAAGAGAGGAGGAGGAGGAAGGTGTTGAATTTAGTAGAGAGAAGTTGACCATGGGCAATCATGTTTCAATTGATACGTTGATCAGGAAGTCTGTCTGCGTGTGTGTCGGACCTGCAATTTTTTTTTTTTTTTTTTTTTTTTTTGTTTCGACATTGGCGAAAATTATTATTTGCGGCCAGTTCTTTGTTGACAAAGACAAGTTTTTTTTTTTTTTTTTTTTTGTTTGTTTAGGTAAAACAAAGACAAAAGGGTGGTGTGGGGATCGAACGGTGGTGGGAAATTTGGCGAAACACACGTGGGTGGCGGTGCGGAGCGGGGCGGGTAGGGAAACCAAAAAATGAAAAGAATCTTTTTACTTTTTGTTGATGGTGGCGGTTGCTGTTTAAATTTAACCGACATTCTTTAAGGTTTCGATTCGCAACAGTTTCTCTCTGTCTCTCGGTAGGGATAAAAAAAAAAAAAAAAGGTTTGATTAATGATTTCGAACTCGGTCATTAATCATTCGAGTAAAATTTTCAGGCGAGACGTTCGGTAGCCATCGGTCGGACGTGTTTTGCGGTTAATTGGAAAAGGTTACTTAATAAAATCACTTATTATCATCATCATTATTAATGTTTTCCTTTATCCGAAAGGAGCAACGATTTCACTTGAAACTGTATAATTTAAAAGGTTTTTTTTTTTTTTTTTTTTTTTATAAACTTTTTAACAGACACGATTTCATCGAAAAGTGTGTTTTTAAAAAACCGCGTCAGGTACGCGGGGGGGGGAAGAAAGGAGGAAGTGGTTGAGGAGTAGGAGAAGGAGGAGTCGTTTGTCTATTTTTCGTCTAGACTTTTTTTTTTCTATTTTTGAGTATATTGACCCAGATTGGTTTTTGTTTTAATGATAAAACAAGCCGACCGTCGACGACGACTACGATCGTTTTATGTTCAGTCAGTCTACTTTCCCATTAATAAAAAAAAAAAAAAAAAAAAAAAAAACGTGGTTATTTCTGGCCTTCTTTGTCCGTCCGTTTGATCATTACTTTTTTTTAAAACCATTACTATTATTATTATTATTATTAGTAATTCGTACGTTATTTTCGATTGGATACGCCGTTTGCACGTGCACGTAAATTTTTTTTTTTTTTTTTCTCGTATGCGGTCGTCACGATTTCGATGTGTTCGGTGAAGAGAGAAGAGCGTTCGGTCGTGAAAAGGATTTTTTTTTTTTATCTTTTTAATTATTAATTAATTAATTAATTTTTGGGGGGGGGTTTTCAACGGTTTTTTGCTGTAGCAGCAGCAGCAGCAGTAGCAGCAGTAGTAGTATCGATTATTTTAAATTTTTACAAAGTAATTGGGAAATCGAATTGAATAAGAAAACATTAGCGACCTCCTCCGCATTATGTCACAAACCAGACGTCACGTGTTTTTAAATGACGTCACAATCCTAGGTCATTTAATTCATGAAAGGTTAAATTTAAATCCTTATAACGGACACGCCTTCCTCCTCCTCCTCCTCCTCCTAGCCTGTGACTCTCCTCCCGTAGTTTATTTTCTCTCGTTGATAAATGGATAATTGGTAAAGGTACGGGTAATGCGTGCGTGCGTGTACGCGTGCGTGCGTATTTACGGGTGACTAAAAACCGTTTATATTACGACCCGTTTGTCTTATGATGATGATAATGATAATTTGCGAGGTGGGGAGGGGGTTTCGTACGTGTAAGTAACACTTATCGCGTAAAATACAAATCGGCTTGGGTCGGTTCATTATCCAATACATCATTTCCAATAAGATACGTTCGGTGTTTCAACACCGTAATCATCTCGGGAATTTAATAATAATAATAATAATTATTTGTTAAAATCGATAGCCGTTCGGAGGAGGCGTGGAGGCGTTAGGCGAATTTCACGATTTTCGAGGTTGGAAGTTTTTCTTTCTTTTTCTCTAATTCCACTTGACAAAATTACGTCCGTCGCCCATTTATTTATTTATTTATTTATAGGCATATGCATTCGACACACGTTTTTTGCGCATCTGTTCTCCCTCTCTCTCTCTCTCTCTCTCTCTCTCTCTCTCGTTTTTATGTGATCAAATGCATAAAATTGAATGATTAACGGACGTACGTACGGGACATCTTCTTCTCCATTTCCATCTCCTCCTCCTTCTTCTTCTTTCTCTTCTCCTTCTTCTTATTCTTCTTTACAATGATGTGTCTCGGCCAGGAACTTGTTTTATTTATTTATCATTATGAATGAATTCTCTTTTATGCTACTGCATTCAATTTGCACGCACGTCATAACGAGTTCAATTACGGTTGTCGTTTATTAGCAATCTTCTCGGTTTTTTTTTTTTTTCTTCTTCTTCTTTATAAATTACTTCCGGTTATTTTCGAACGTGAGTTATCACGACTTTTCCCCCTCTCCCGTCTCTCTCGAATTTTCTCCTCGTTGATTTTTAATTATTGGTAATTTGAATAGGAAGAAGGGATGGTGGGGAGTCGGTGGTGGTGGTGGTAATTTGTTCTTACGCCGCGAATGGGGTCCAATAGGCAAAGAAAAAAGTGGAAAACCGTTTTCGATCTCTCTCTCTCTCTCTCTCTCTCTTTGTCTCTCGCATTATTTGAATAATCGAATGTGTTTTTCCCGACACGCTCCTCAAAGTTTTGGTATTGAAACAAAAAACAAATGCTTAAATAGACATTTGGATTTGTTTTGTTTTTCTAGAAGAAATAAAAGCCACGATGAATCGGTGATTCATGTTTGTAATGGAAAAATAATAATAATATTAATTTACAGAACGTGGTTTTAGAACGATTCGTTGCTTTTTTTTTCCCCCACTTTTATTTGGCTTTCGAAATATCGAACAAGGAGATTGACCCATTTCTATTTGTAAACAACTTTTAAATGATTCACATCTCTCTCTCTCTCTCTCTCACTCTCATTATATTATACGTACGTTGCATCTTTGGCCCTATTACCTTGTTCGATTCGGTCCAATTTTTTATGGATTTTATATAGTCGTCGTCGTCGTCGTAGGAAGCATTTCAAAAGTTGGCCAACGTGCAAAATTTGGTCTTTATGTACATGCGTTCGTACGTACGTATCTCATCACGTTCGTTTGTTCGTTCGTTCGTTCTTTTGATTTCTGGTCGATCACCTTTTGTGAATTTAACCTGATTAATGTTCTCTCTCTCTCTTTCTTTTTTTTTTCTTTCTCTATCTTTTTCTTTCTCTTCTTCTTCTTCTTCTTCTTCTTCCTGTCATTTTGTTTTGTTTTTTTTTGCGGATGCGTTTATTCTTTTATTTTTATTTTTGTTTTCGATACGAATAAGTTTGTTTGAAAAGTAGTAATTTGTATGGAAAAACTTTTTGTTTTTCCCTCTCTCTCTCTCGGGGGGCATTGTTTTTTCTTTTGTTCGTTTGTTTTATTCTCTCTCTCTCTCTCTCTCTCTCTGGTTCGAATAAAATTTTATGGCAGAAAACCGAAATGAATATTTAATCAGCAAGTGAGTGAGTGAGACAGAAAGAGAGAGAAAGAGAAAAACTGATAACGCGTCGTGTTGTTTGTTGTTGTTGTTGTCGTTTTTTTTTTTAATAAACATAATCGAATATGACTAAACGCGGTCATGTTCAGTCAGTCAGTCATTCAGTTGTAAAGAAAGAAGCATGAAAATATGGTGCACATAACGAAAACGTTTATATATATATATATATATATATATATATATATATATTTTATCAACAGTAATAATAATAATAATGATCATCAATGAGGAGAAAAAAAAAAACAAAACAACAACAACAACAAACTGATTGCTCAATAGTCACGCTGCTGCTATATTTAGTCAAATTTGACCTTATTACCTTTTTTCTCGTCTTCGTCTTCTTTTTCTTTTCATCGTTTTGCTTTTGCCTCTCTCTCTCTCTCTCTCTCTCTCTCTCTCTCTCTCTCTTCTTTATCTCTTTCATTTTGCTTGCTCTCACGATAAATTATGAATAATAAAATGAAAAATTATTATTATTATTATTATTATTGTTTTTTTTTCCTGTAAACAAGTTGGCGGGGGGCGTGGGGAGAGGGGAAGAAGGGAAGGAATGAAGGTGAAAACGGTGAGAGAGAAAAAAACGTCGATCGTTTGATTATTTCTAAAGGAAAATTAAATAACGCGCGTAACGTTTGCAATTTGATAATAAGGTGTGTGCGTGCGCGTCTCTCTCTCTCTCTCTCTCTCTCTCTTTTTCTCTCTCTTTCTCTCGCAACAAACTACATCATTCATTTTTCAAATCGACTCACGGTTGTATACGTTGACCCGGGAATCCGCACGAAGTAAAATATTATTATTATTATTATTATTATTATTATTATTATTATTATTATTATTATTATTATTAATATTATTATTATTATTAATAATAATAAAACGTTTTAAATTATTGACACATAACGGTTTATTTAGTGTAGGTTATATGAATGAAAACGTGTGGAGGAGGTTAAAAGGAGAATGATTTAATTTATTTTTTTTCATGATAAGGTAGAGAGAATCAGATAGGCGGCGGGCGGTGGCGGCGGGTAAGGGGGGACGCATAAAAGTAATAATAATAATAATA